GATGATGATGGTGATGATGATGATGATGATGGTGATGATGATGATGATGATGAGTATAATTATAACGAACAACGATAGTGATCACAAAAATAATAACTATAGAACAATAGCAATAGTAAAAGCATCAAGAAAAACCAGCGCACAACCAGTCAGTGACTCACTGTCCAGCATCTTCCTGTCCGCCTCAGCCATAACGGACTTACTACTGTCCACTTTCTCTGGACCGACACGCATCTTGCCATCACCTGAAACACAACATGGGAACAAGTTAGTCGGGGGGTAACCTTATCAACATGTCGGACACCAAAATATAGATTTGCATAATATATCATCACGTGTCAGCCATCATCACCAGTGAGCATACGAGTCACCATCATAAGTCAACTTATCATTGCCTACAATCGGTCAACCAACAAATCGGTACCTCAGAATCACAAAGTCCTGTCTGCTCAGTACCTAGTTTTGAGAAATTTGACGTAAAAAATTTGAGTTTCACAAATATGTCAAGCTTTTTTTAATGCAATTCTTTGAATATCTTGATAACGACTCCGAATTGTCTCACGGTTTTGATAGAGCAGATAAGAGGATGTTTGGTTTAGGTGGGTTTTTATAAAGTTTTAGTAGAGTTTTTACGACGCTTGCAACTGGATAAGGTCATAATATGAGCGCCAAGGGGTGGAAGTCAACAGAGAAGTCCATACAGGGAATCAGGCTTACTCTGCTCACCTCTCCAGCTTCAACAGCACAAAGTCTGCTTCGACTATCAAGGCACCCCGGAAATAGAGGGTCACAAGAGTATGACAAACATACAAAAGAAGTAGAGGGAAAAATGACAATAGTAAGGATTAGGAAAGAAAAAGCAGCAGTTCCCTGTTGCAGTTCAAGCACAGTCATGAGCATGACATTGGTGAATCAGCCCATTCATAATTCTACTGTGTATAAGAACATGTTAATGTCCCCCCTTTGGGAATGGCCTCAAGACACTTCAGTCAGTAGCACTGACCTTATGGTCTTAGTAACGATAAAAATATCTGAAAGAACTTTGTAATTCTAAAGTAGCGAAATATGAGCCACCACAATTCGTCAAAACACCGAGTTTGAGTTTTAGTAAATAAAAACACATCGACACAATAACGGTCATTTAGTGCTTGGAAAAAAGCAAGGCAGGCAGACAGAAACTACAGAGGAAAAGAAATGAAGTCGAATCTTCCAGTGATGCTCACCAATCACCTGCAAATGCGGACATGATTAGTCCGAATATAATTATAAGCTAGCAAGCACATATGTGAATCAACATAAATCAACATACCAGTCACCACAATAGGTCAACAAAATACCAGAGACAACAGTCAATCAGCACATAAACCACCACTACCATTCAGCACTGTGAGTCAATACATCAGCCAAATTTCTGTTAACAAAACAATCACCACAATCAGTCTACACGATAGGTTAACATTATATCAGTCAAAACAATCAGTCAACAATGTCACTAACCCCTTCAGCCAACAATCAGTCAACAAAATCTGGTAGCATGTCAGTCTGATAGAGCAGATCTGTTGACCCAATTAAAATCATTGATGTTAGGTCATACTGAGATATATATAGATCTAAATTATTGTGAACGTGATACAAAACAGGAAGAAAAGAACGTCCGCACGGACATTTCAGTACGCACGCATGACATTATTTGCATTTCTATTTTCTAGAAAAGACAAGACACCGCAGTTCTGGAGTTCCAGATAAACACTAGTCAACCTGACAGCGACTGCATTTCACCATGGGCATAACAACAGGCCATACAGAGCCACGTCATAGTGTAATAGATACACAGTATCCCATAACAGTGCAATAAACCTACACAACCACGCCACCGTGCATTAGACCAAACATGACCACGTCAAAGTGTAAAAAGTGACTGCGTCAAAGTGTAATAAGTACAGGCCTTACAGAACGACGTCACAGTGTAATAAACATACAGATACCACGTCACAGTGAAATAGACCGGACAGAACCATGTAACGGTGTCATAAACATAGACCATACAGAACCACAGCACGGTGAAAAAAAGACCAAACAGGACCACGTCACAGAAACACAAGTCTTACAAATTGACGCAACGATTAAATAGATCATAATATAACTAAGTCACAGTGTAATAAAGATTCAAAACCACGCCACGGTGTGCAGGACCATACAGGACAATGTTACATTGTGACAGACCATTAAGAACCACGTCAGTGTAATTTGTAATAAGCACATACAAAACCATGTCACAGTGCAATATAATCACACTGCAACAGGCCACAGAGGGCCACGTCCTTATGCAATAGACCATATAGAACCACATTTTTAAAAAGTCACAAAGAAGCAGACAGCAAAAAATCATACCACAGAGCGTTACAGTGCAACGGATTAAACAGAAAAAATACCCCCCAAAAAGCAACCCCCCCCAAAAAA